AAATACCTCTTTTGAGAACGCTTTAGGAAAACTTGGATAAACAGATACCAGGCTGAAATCTCTAATAGATGGTGCGACAGACCGAATGCCAGAAACTAATAGATATATACACAAAGCGGTGTAACAAAAGGATGACAGAACCTGAAGGTCATTGCAATGGATCGTACAATGGCAGAAAACTGGGAATAAATCAGTATGAGTAAAAATAGTGATAATATTTAACCTTCCATAAAATGCTACGTTTAAAATATAGGTTTGCATCATTTGGGTCATACAGTAAGGTCTGAACCAACAAAAATTTATGTTAAATGAACATCTCTCTCTTAGAAACTTAAATTTTGCTGTATTGCTACAGTATTGTTACTCCTTCTCTCACGGTGCCTTCATATTTTCTTTTATTTCCGAAATTTCTTTACTCCTTACTCTTATCTCTTATAAGTTAACTTTCTACATTTTCGAACAAACCTGAGCAAAGCAGAATGCATAAACGGGTAATATCGGTACCATAGTGATTAAAATGAGTGCAAAGACTCGTTGGCTTATAACCAGGAAACTTTGGGCAAATGCGTACTGAGCATCCATGCCGAATCGTAATGACAGTATGACATAAGGCTCAGCGAATGATTCGAGCCAAGCAGAGAATGCAAACATTGACAATGCTGTGGTATATGATGGTACCAGTGAGGCGTCTGGTAGAGTCGAAAAAGGTAACCAGAAACACAGATATAACACAGCAGCTATCAAAGGACAAATTAATGGCCTGAAATATTATAACAAATTAGAATTAAAACCAGGGAAACTAAGGAATTTTTTTTTATCCTATGAAAACTGTAGTAACTAACATAATTACTACGGCTAATAAATAAAGTAATGTGTAGAAAAAACTTACGCAAACCATAAATGTGTAACGACAACCGACAATGGTATTTCACTTCCCAGAAATACCTTTCGGAACGGCTCACGTATCAGAAAAATTGTTGTTGAGTAAAATAACATTAAACTGAAAAAAAAAAAGAAACAGCATTGCCGAAAATCATGAGTTTCGAAACAAAAAGTTCCACACTTCATAACCTTTTGCTTTTAGCTTTTCGCTTACGGTACTAATTTAATACTTGAAGGTTCAATTTATCCATTAGCAAAAAAAAGCTCATTAAAATTATAAGGACTAGAATTGCTAAATCAGATTTTTCAAAATTTTTACTTGACATTGACCAGTCCCAAAGCATCGCTATCAATTCGTCGCAACAAATACATATTTATGCAGAATGAGAAAAGGCGGGAAAGCAACTGAAATTAGTAGATGTAATTTACTTTTATACTTTAAATTTTCAGTTCCTCTTAATCAACTTATACTATAGTCGTTTGGTCGTCAAATGCTATTGTTGACTCAGTGGGAATGAGGAAAGAGTGATACTGCTGGAACTCTAACACACAGCCCAATAGCGACTGTAAATGTTTAACTAATCTTGTATAATTAGTAAATGCATTGTCTAAAAAGTATAAAATCTCTTTCTTGAAAAATCTAGAAAATTTAAAAAATACAGAAATCACCAGCATCAAACCTGTCCACTGAAATTATGCATGAAAGATGATGCCAAGGAATTCATCATAACAGGGATATATCAAGTTCAAACTATATCAAGTCCTGTTTCAGCAATGTATGCATTTGGTAAAAGATAATACTATCCATCAATTAGATGTAACGTTATAACAAATCATATAAGCTTCTTTTATCGTCTCTGCTACAATAATTACTCGGTTTGAAAATGCAGATGATCAATCGCTTCGAGCAATATGATTTAGTGATAAGTAGACAAATTCACCAAATGCATACCTTCACCTGTCTGTTTAATAATTCTGTTTCCCGAAATATAGTAACTCGAAAGTGTCACTCCACGATGAGATCCACATATTTTGCAAGCATTTCGAAATAACACAACTTTTACATTTTGTATTTCAGAACATTTTATTTCGGTATCTATACCGTGAAACTACAACGGTGTCAAATTATGAAATATGAAAAAGAAATGATGAATTCTAATGTAATCAAACAGACTAAAAGAATTTTAGCCAACTCGGTCAATACAATATAAAACATAGCAAGGTAATATAGAAATAAAAGAAAATTAAATCTAAGCAAAAGATCTCTCGCTTTTGATTCACAAAGACTGCAAGGAAATCCTTCAACTGATCGATAGCAATCAGGTCCATTATTATTTACCACTGTTCATGGAATTTAATTATTTTACTAATTTCATTGCTATTTACGTTTTTTTTAGCGTTTCATTCTCATAATCAAAACAGACTGTAGATTGCTTAAACGAAATAATTTAAATGCCTTCAACATATCAAAGGTCGCATATAAATCGAACACTGCAACAACACAAATCCCTCCAACCTTACAATTCTTTCACATAAAAAAATTTAGAAAATGCCGAAAGTAATTCAAATCTTGTGACAGTCTATCACTCAATCAGGATGAATATTGGAAATTTCATGCGAATTTCAAAAATACTTGATAAAGAGAAATAACTTTTCTAAACAACTTTCCTGAGTAGAAGAATAAAAAACATAGGAACAGAAAACGGAGGAATCATGGAATGATGAAGTCATATTGTCAAACAGCAATTCTGAAGCAAAATTTAGACCAAATATTCAAGAATTAGGGAAGAAAATAGTAACAAGAAAGCAAAAAGTGATCATACAACGAAGTTAACCCCATGCTTGTGTCTTGCTATAATTGATGACTAACTTCGAATCACCGGGTGCGAAACAATCCTTTAAATTCCGCACTGTTTGATCCGGTGATGGTGCAAAACACTGATTGATGAAAAGCAACAAGGAATCGCTATCATTAAGCTGAAACCTCTGAAGTATTAAAATGTGACTGCTATAAAAATACTCATCATGGTTGCGGATTAAAAATGTGTCAGCAATACGAGAAGAACTGAATATCAGTACAGTGGCTTCTCTTGAAACTGACTGTTGAAATCTGACTAAAATAAGTGGCCATATTTAGCTTTTCCTGACTGCTAATGGCTGCCAATGTTTTCTTAGCTTGAACAAAAACTTGAAAAACTAACGTCTTTTGAGTACTGATATTTACTAACGCTTATCACTTTCAACACTTCTTCAAATTTTGTTTAAGATACAATTTCCACAAGATATGTATAAAAGCATAATGCAAATAGGCATAACCGAGAAGTAAGCTGTTACCTTCATATAACTTCGCAAAAAAATGCATAATTCCGCCACTGTTTTCTTTTCGTCAACTGTCCATTTGTTTTGCTTCAGTATAGGTGCATCACCGACTGCTTTCAATAAAATTTCGACCTTTGCATTTTCAGCCATTTTTTATAACTTTTGAATAGAAGCTACCTAAAAGAATTACCTAAAACAGCTTATTACCTAATATGGACATGTTAGCACATAATGTTAACGTATTTAAAATGTATAAATATGATTAGAATTTGTCTTGTTCATCACCTTCAGAAGAACATCACAATTTCCGCATTTAATTTTTCCAATTGATACCAAACACTGAATCACTCTAACTTTGACATTCAGAATTCCTAGAACCCTAGAAATGAGACTTTGAAAGTTTGAAAAAAAGTTGTGTTTAAGTTACAAATGACAACCACAAATACCTTATGCAAAACTCCACAGTTTGTATGGAAGAAGAATTACGAAAGCACAAACAGCAAATATCACACAGTTGAACAGTGATTGTTCCCACGGTTCGAGCATATACAAGCCCGTTATAAGACAATACTGCCTATAGTACCAAAAAATGGGGTTGTTCTGAAAAAAGTAAGCTGATCGCAGTTTGACAAGATAAATTTCATTTGCGTTTTGTTTTTCTTTAAAAAAATCAGGTACTGCTATGACTAACATGAGGTTTGTAGAAAATAGGTGGAAGAAAATCCGTATTTTCAACTTCATTTGCGTCCAAACCTGCATGCTATCACTAAAATTCAAGATTATTGTCGTTCTTTTCCGAGATTACTGTCAATACAAAACGTCATGTTTACCGATGAATATGTCAGCCGCTATGGTTTTTTTTTTTCTAGTTCACAATGAACCGTTTTAGTAATAGAAAATATCAAGCATGTTTTCAATGACGGTTCTAATTCATGAGTTACTATTAGCACTAACCTTCGCTACTATACTGTCGTGCCCGTTTTCTCTCCTCTCAAACATTCAACCTGAAGTGAATAATCTGAAAATATTCAACAAAAAAAAAAAAAAAAAAAAAAAAAACCCGACAGCCATTACACGATCTGTATAACAAATTAAAAGTGAAAATATTTTTTCTACATGTTAAACCTATTATAGAGCGCAACTAACGACAATGTAACTAATGTGTGCATGTACCTAGCATAGTTGAAGTATACTGCATGATAATAGCACTGATCACATATACGTCATCTGTGGAAATAAAGTAAAGGATATAGCACAGAGGTATACAGAATAACACAGATAACTTCCGTTATAGATAACACGAACTGTTTGCTAAGCTAATACTTATCTCTTGGATGCAAGCGTAAAATATTGCAAAGATATATTCTAATGTATTCTACACAGGATGGAATCACATCTCGATAAGAGATGACTAGCAAATTTAAAGTTAACAATAAAGCAAATCTGAAATTAAAAAATAAAACTAGAAAAGGGATGTGGAGAAATCCCAGAAAAAAAAAAAAAAACGACGAAAATGCAGGAAGGCGAGAATATACCAAACAATAAAGCATTTCAAAGATATCAACGTAGCTTACAGAGATGACTTTGTGTCATACCGATTCCGTGCATCACTCCGACTTACTTCATTTTTACGTCATGCCGCAACTCCTCTGATTCGCATTGTCGTTTTAGTCTGTGCTATTCTTGGTTCTTTCAGTTTTCTGCTGCGCTTCTGATTTCTGTATCTTGCATTCACGTTTACGTGCTATTTTGCAAATCTCTTCGAAATGAGTCTGTTTCAGGATACGTCTCCAAGTACAATGGGACTTTGCAAATGTGCCAAGAAAAAAGTGACAAGTTTATTTTGTTTCGAACATCGAGTGAACGTTTGCGAGTATTGTTTGGTGGAAAATCATTGCAAGGTAAGCTATTATCGGTTCCTCATGAAGTTGTATTGACAGGTTACGTGATAAATGTTAATGCAAGTGAAAATGAGGTAGTCCTGGCAAATTATTTATACTTAGTAGTGGGAAAAGATATCCGCCTTCTCTTTTACTCAAATTATCAAGGACATAAGGCTGGAAAGTATCACAAATTTTTTAGAGCATTGGAATAAACGCTTCTTTTTTATATCAAAGGGATATTAATAGGATTAAGGAACATGATATCATTTTACCTTCGTAAAATATTCATGGAATTAGAGATGTACAGAAAAAAAACAAACAAACGAAAAGAAAAAAATGAAATTGTAGTGTGTTGTTCAAAGTTATCTGTCATGGTTGGCGGACAGTGATTATGATACAAACTGTACGCTATGTTCTATGTCATTAGAATCTAAGGAAACTGTTCGCTTGAAATGTTTGCGTATGTTTTATTTGATACTTAGTAAAGTGAAAGTCTTGACTTTAACATGCTATTATTGAACTTTATCATCTATTATTGAAGTTTAAAAATAGAAGTCTCCTGCGAACATTCGTTTGAGGTTGTGTAAAGCAGACATCAGATCCAACAGTGAGGAGTAATATATTTTACAGATGACAAATTTGAACAGATTATCATAAAACAGTGATTTGTCAATCACTGTTTACCTATGAGTTTTCAGATCTGTTCCACTGGGAATGTTTAGATGAATGGGCACGTCATTTACCAGGAAATACAGCTCCAGCTGGCTATAAGTGTCAGCAGTGCCAGGAAGGTATATTTCCAGCTCCTAATCAAACATCACCAATTATTGAACGTTTACAAGCTGTGTTGCAACAGGCAAACTGGGCACGAGCTGGACTTGGATTATCCTTAGTAAGAACTAGATTTTTATTTTCAAATTTCATCCTGCTGTACTTCTCGAGTACATCTTTTATGAGTTAGGCTCTCAAAATCCTATGGAACCTCTACTTTGAAAATCTCGGGGTTTTTTTTTTGCATTAAAAATTATTGAATCCTTATCAGTCATTTGATAAAATTTCTTTTTATGTATATATATGTGTGCGGAGTTTTCTAAATTTGTTCATATAACGAACTTTTTTCATGCAGTTACCAGAACTTGATAGTTTACCATCATCTGCATCAGTCATTCCATCGATGATAACACATTCGGTAAGTGGAAAACAGAATTATGTAAATGAACACGATATTTTGTATGAAGCGAATCTCAACGTTGGCAATATTCGTAGTGATACATCGGCGACAGTAGTTGACGTAGGGGACGAATATAATCGGCAGGAACAGCAACGTCAATTTACTGGTTGGTTCTTTGGTTTGAATCAAATACACTGGATAATACCTTTGTGATTTCCATTCTCGTTATATATAATTTTACGTCTTAAGTGGAAGTGATCATCAGGTTTTATTTTTGAGCAGACTCAACATTTGGTTTTGATGCTTGCTGTGCTATTTAACTCTTTGTTATCAAACTTCTCGGCGTCTTGAATTTCAAAACTTTCTTACTAAAAAGCCACATACATCTTGACTGATATGTTTGCATCACTGATGGTTTTCCTGAAATTCGTTTATTCAAGAATGTGCAATTTTGGATTGTTCAGTAGTATTCATTGTCAGCGCTGAACGATTCAGCGTTTTTTGTTGTTACTGTTTAATTTTTCAGCCAGAAAACCTATGAATCTGAATGAAAACAATTATGCGATTCCAAGTTCTTTATTATTTTCAAAAGTTCGTGACGAAGATTTACCAGAAAACAAGTATAAACGAAGATCAGCTAGTGAATGGCTAAATCGCTGGTTTAGGTTCGCGAAATTTAATTCTTTGTAATATCTATGCACTCTTAATCTAAAGGAATATTTCTGTCCATTAAATAATTAAACTACTTTATAAAATGGAATTCATAGGAGGAGGAAGCTGAATATTGAAAACATTTCAGATCGCGATATGGTAAGCGTCCTGTTTTCGATCCTCGTGCACAGTGGAAACGTGGATTTTTTTATATTATAGTTTGCATTATAATAATGATGACAGTATTTACCATACTTCCACGTTTCATAAGTAACCGATCGAATGATGACCCAGCGTTCAATCCACTCGCTAATCCAGACATTCGTATTGCATTTCCGGAACAAAGTCAGTAATGTTGCTTGTGATTTTTCTTTCCCTTAAACTTTTATTATTCAAAATAATTGTTAGTACAGGCGCATATTCATAAAATAGAAGTAGAAAGGGTTTATGGCTATAATTACAAAGGTTCTTTAATATTTATTTACGATATCTCTCTGGCTCACTCTTTTTTCGTAACATTATGCGTAATGTTGATATTTTCTCTCTATATCTAGCACTTAATGGTACTGTCGTAGGAGACTTACTGAATGATAAAGCAATTAATAAGGTAAAAAGGATGAGTTCAGAATGCCCGTTTCTTTGTACGAGTGAAAGAAGTATTTGATTTTAAAATATTTACGGAAAGAATCTATAATTAATCAGTAATTTTAAATTAGGGCCTAAATGAGAATTAGTGTTTCAATCAGTTATTTTATCACTTATCATTGTACAGCTTTCATTCCCATTTTAGACTGTTTACCGGCTAGAATAATCCAGTTTAAACTATTCTAGCCGAAATTAACATGTTGATAGCAATCCTTGTCACCATGTAATATGTTAATTTATATTCGGTTTTTGCTTTTAATTCGATTTTCCATTAAGTTAGTTGAATGTAATGATGTATTTAAATTTTGCAAATGTTCTATTATAATGGTTGCATTGAAATTATGTGGTAATTAAGGGTATAAATTAGACCTGTGATATAAAGTGAATTTTTGTTGCAACGTTCTTAGTTTGACTTGGTTAAATAATTTTGATCGATTGCTTTCATAATAAATAGATTCTTTTTAATTTTTATGATATGTGAAGGATCAGGTCATAAAGCTTGTCCACTGATATGTTTTAAACCATTAAAATTTGTTTTGGCTATGTTTTATTGTAAATTACAAACTTAGTATATTTCGGAAAGGACAGGGAATTCGTTATTGTTTGGTAATATTATAGTGATATGATTGTGACAATTCCATTAAGACGTGTAAAGATTGCTGCTCAAAATTAGGAAATGTTCCCAATTAATTTTAATGGAATGTAACGTTTCGGGCAACAAGATGATGCAGATGGCATCGAGTAAGGGCTTAGCTCGATTAACTGCTGGCAAGTTGCGATTAGTCAATTTGTCAAATTGTCGTGGGCAACAAATGGCAGCATCGAAAAAGGTTGAAGTATTCATCAATGACATGAAAGTACTTGTTGATCCGGGTACCACTATATTACAGGTTTGTGCGACTGTTTTTACCTCATCTTTATGTACTTATTTTTGAACGATTTTTGACTTTTTATGTTGAAAATGCAATATAATGTTGGTCTTATGATCACCTACCACTTAATGTTCATTTCACATTTCTTCTTAAGGTTGAGATTGTACTGACAGTTATAAATATTGTTCCAGTGGGTGTTTCTTTTGTTTTATGCAATTTAATTACAGGCGGCCTCCTTGCTTGGCATTGATATCCCTCGCTTCTGTTATCACGACCGCCTTTCTATAGCTGGCAACTGCCGCATGTGTCTAGTAGAAGTAGAAAAACAGATAAAGGTAGGACTTTTTTATTGGTTTCTAAGATTTAGTTTAGAAGTGGTTCTTAAGGTTTTTAACTTCGCTTTTGATTTAGATTTGGCTTTTTGTCCATTTATTATATTTTTTATTTTGATTGAATTTCATTTTTGTCACTAATTTATAGCCAGCAGCATCATGTGCTATGCCTGTTGCGAATGGCATGAGAGTACAAACTAATTCACCAATGGCGAAAAAAGCTCGTGAAGGAGTAATGGAATTTCTGCTTTTAAATCATCCACTTGATTGTCCGATTTGTGACCAGGTTTGTTAACCCGGAATAGTGATTACATAATACTTTTTTTGTTTTAAAATGAACGAGGATCAAATCTTAGGAGCTGGGTCGCGAAGTCATGTAACGGTTTATTACATGCTGTTTCCATAGTGTTGGGAAATCTGTTGATCTAAGCGTAGTGACAGATAAAATAATTAGCAAGCTTTTAAAAGCTACATTTTTTTTGTGTCAAAAGAAGAAAGGACTCTTTAAGTAGATTTATGAATTTATAATATTGTTAGGGTGGTGAATGTGATTTACAAGATCAGTCAATGGGATTCGGTTCAGACAGAAGTCGTCTGGAAATTTTCTATGATGGCAAAAGGTTTCTTAAGCTTTTGAAATCTAAAAATTTATATTTTAAAATTTCATCTAATGCATCTTTGAAAATTCCTTTGGTATCCGACTTATGTATTAAAGCACTAAGAAGCTTATTTGTTCACAATAATTTTCCAGTGTTCTGGGTTTTTAGAGCTGTGGAAAATAAATATATCGGACCACTGATAAAAACGGTAATGACACGATGCATTCAATGTACGCGATGTGTACGATTTGCCAATGAAATAGCCGGCGTTTCGGATTTTGGTACTACTGGGCGTGGAACTGATATGGAAGTTCGGGTTTTCTTTCTTTTTCATGATTGATAAGTCAAGATTGATTGTTTGTTCTTTCATTTATTAATATTTATACGACATATTCACTTTTTTCTGCTATTTATTACTGTGAGTATCTAACTATTCTATGCAATTTTGTCATTCAAGTACATTTTAAACGGAAAAACTTCAGTATGCAATCTATGATGATGGTACGTGACCTTTAGTATACAGTCAGATTAGAAAATTTTATTGGTGTGAGGAAATTAATCACTTAAAGATTGGAACTTATGTTGAGAAGTTGTTTGCGACGGAACTGTCGGGTAATGTTATTGATATTTGTCCAGTTGGCGCTCTTCTTAACAAACCGTACAGGTATATGTATTATTTATTTATATATATGCATTATTTTATATATAATATATATACATGAATTTAAGATAAAATCTGGAAATGATTTTAACACATTTTGAAAACTTTGTGATTTTTACACTTAAGTGATGTTATTTATATGCAAAGTGTGTCTTATCTTCTGTACGTAATATTCTCAATTTCTTTATGAAAATTGAGTTCTTTCAGCTTTACAGCAAGGCCGTGGGAGTTGCGTAAAGTAGAAAGCGTCGACGTGATGGATGCCGTTGGTTCAAATATCGTAATTGCACATCGAACTGGTGAACTGTTCAGAATTACTCCAAAACTATGTGAGGTAGAAAAATGAATCACATAAATGTGTTTTTGTTGACAAGATTTGAGGGTCTTTTTTGCTCATCGGATCCCGAACTCATTGATTTTATTATTATTATTAATTATATTTATTATTATTATTATCATTATTATTATTAACTATTATTACTATTATTATTATTTCAGGATATTAATGAAGAATGGATAAGTGACAAAACACGTTTTGTTGTTGACGGCTTAAAAAGACAGCGACTTGGCCAGCCACTGTTACGGACTCAAAATGGTTCTCTGGAGTAAGTTTGCATTTGTATAAGAAAGTATTCATGCATATTCAATTGTTGGTAGGCTAAAATTAAACTTCCATAATCATTTGTCTAATACTTTCATCTGCTTCCTTGACAAATTGCGATAGTGAAGGACAATGTAATGCAGAAAAAAGAAAAAAGCATACATAACATAATAAATCCTTCGTTCACTAACTGATTTGTTTGCAGGCCATGCAGTTGGGAGGAAGCGCTCTTTGCTGTTGCATCAAAACTGCGCGCTGCTTCACCAAATCATATTGCTGCAATAGCAGGAGACCTCTGTGATACAGGTCTCCTTTATGGCATTAATAAAAAATAAAGAAATTCTTTGCTCTTTAAACTTAATATAAATTTAAAAAATTAGAAAATTTGTTGCCGCAAGAATAATTTGATTTTCAATAATTTTTCTTTTCTCTTGTATGTCATATGTCTTATGTATCTTGCATAATAACATTTCCAGAATCACTAATAGCTTTAAAAGACCTGATGAATCGATTTGATAGTGAATTGGTTTGCACAGAAGAATCATTCCCAAGCGGCAGTGGCGGAACTGATCTTCGGTAGTTTTCTAGAAATATATGATTAACAAGAAGTTTGGTTAAAGAATGAGTAGTGCTTTGTTAATTAAACTCTTTGTTGATTTGGAATGTCTAGTCTTTGAGCTTACTGTCGATGTGATAGTGAATTGGTTTGCACGGAAGAATCATTCCCAAGCGGCAGTGGCGGAACTGATCTTCGGTAGTTTTCTAGAAATATATGATTAACAAGAAGTTTGGTTAAAGAATGAGTAGTGCTTTGTTAATTAAACTCTTTGTTGATTTGGAATGTAGTCTTTGAGCTTACTAGCCATGATATTTCTCTGGACTTGATACTTCTGCGACATACATCCAACTCGTTTATATGTTACTGTTCTTTCGTTTTTGGACATTTTCTACTAAGTTGTATGAAACTTTTCTTTGTTGATTTGGAATGTCTAGTCTTTGAGCTTACTGTCGATTTGATAGTGAATTGGTTTGCACGGAAGAATCATTCCCAAGCGGCAGTGGCGGAACTGATTAACAAGAAGTTTGGTTAAGAAGTCTTCTGATAAATTATGTTTCGCAATCTCTACCAATAAATTATGTGTTAGAACTAAGCAAGTTAAAAGGTCAGCCGTTTCAGATGTAATTATGTTATGAATGACAAATTTATTGGGATAGAAAGAGTGGATGTTTTATTATTAATTGGCACAAATCCACGCTTTGAAGCCACAATTTTCAACGCTCGCATACGAAAAAGGTACTGCGAAAAACTTGCTGCTCTTTCTTTTTTTTGTGTGTGTGTGTGTTTTTAGTGTTATTGATGAAGATTATTAGCTTATTTTTTACAGATTTAATAATTTATGTGTTTTTTTATAAGCTTTTAAGCTCAATTTCAGTTATTTCGTTGGCTTGAAAAAATTAGACTGAAAAGAGTTGGGATTTGCACATCGACAAACTAACTGTTTTTCTATTCTATACTGCTGAAGCAATATATTTTAGCTTTCGACATACAGATATTGAAATTGGTGTTATCGGTGAAGAAGTTGACTTAAAATATGGTTATGAATACTTAGGTGACAATGGAAAAATTCTGGACGATATAATCA